TCATTCTTTTTCCCTTCCCCCCCCCCCCCCTTCTACAATAGCTGTGATGCTTCCAGGTACAGAAGTTCTACAACTACCGGATAGAATCATCCTTGCATAGTTATTCCATCTTTAACAAATTTTCTTTGGTAAGAAAAATGATGGAGGAAGAGATGGAAAGATTGCCCAATAAAAGCCTCGTCTAGAAACACACCTAGTTTCCTGGTACAAAGTGAGGGACTGGTTTCTCCCGTTCTTGACTATTCTGTGTGTGTGTGCCAGAAGACTTAGAGAAAGTGAAAGGATCTTGTGAGTTTTATGCCTGGCAAGGCTCCCCTCTGTGCTTGGGTTTTCTGCAGTTCACCAGTAACTCAATTGGAAGGGATGTTTGTGTTGGTTGTCCCTTGCAAGGTTATCCAAAGGGATGAAAATATTTGACAGTAAGAACTGAGAAAACAACTACATAGCCAATTACCACAGAATTTGCTTCACTTGTAAAACAAGTGTAATTTTATTTTTTAAAAAAAGTTTGCCTAATGTACATGGCTGAAATGTAGTGTGACATGTGAGTGGGGAAGATCCCTAGACTAGTATACTTGACTAGGAGTCAGGGAAGTTCTACCCAGCTTGTCTGCAAAGAACACCTAGTATATTTGCACTGGCATATACCCTCTCTCTGGGTCCTCCTGAGCCGTATCGGGAAACACTTGCAACTTTTCTTCCTGCCTCTTCAGCATCATGGCGTCCCACCAACCCCTCCTGTGTCTCTTTCCTGTATAAGAACCCTGCTCGATGTGGGGGATTTTTTGACACAGTTCAGTTGGTGTTTCAGCTGTTTCACATGATCCTTGGGCAGAGTCTCCCTGTGCTGCAGGCTCTCAGGTACACCTCCTCCTCCTCCTCCTTTCACTTTTGCTGTGGAGTACAGGACTCTTCTGGGCTACAAACCATTAAAGGATAAGCAGAAGTGGGACAAGGAAAGAAGAAAAAGAACAAGGGGGTGCAGTGGGCTGGAATGCGAATTGCATCACAACCAGCATGAACAGGGAACTCCTGAATCAATCCGCAGCCCCAGTGTGGGCTCTGTTTGCAATTTCAGCCACAATACAAGCTGTGAATCAAATCATAGCAAAGCTGAATCATTCTGACTCACCTTTGCAACGTAGCCACACCCTGAGTTTCTAATCTTGAAAAGGTCCGGTACATATTAGCTTGCCCCTGTCTCAGGCTGACATAATGCTTTCCATAACAGAGATTGGTACAATTGGAGTGCAGCTGCCATGTTCTGTATCTGTGAAGTAATCCAGGTGCGGTTATCTGGAAGTTGAGTCATGGTAACTTGTGTAGGATAGATCAAGGGTCTCCTACCAACTCTCCTCAGGCTGAAGAAGCTACTTGGATGTGTAGCAAAATGTTTCAACCTAATAACAAAGACGTCCAGTTGCCATGACTCAACTTCCAGGTCGTGTGACCCATGGTGGCTGGGGTATACCGACAGCTATAATCCAAAAATGTGACTTTTTCTGTCTTTACTCGTAGCACAGAGGCTGACAATGCTTGATCATAATTTTTGGTCTTTTGTTTCCTGCATTTTTAGTATGAGCAGTTTGAGAGTACTATTGGCTTCAAGCTTCCCAACCACCGCTCAGCTAAAAGGCTCTGGAAGGTTTGCATTGAGCACCACACATTTTTCAGGTGAGACTGGGGGGGGAGGGGAGGGTGAGTAGATGCTGTCTAGAGGGGCGGGGTAGAAATCAAATAAATAAATAAATAAATAAAATAGGGGTGATGAATAAAGTCTTTTTCCTGTACAGTGAGGAGCTGCAGATATACAGTATGCAAGAAGATTGACTAGGGAAGTTTGAATCTCTTCTTGGCCATAAGGCTTACCAAGTGGCATTGCGCAATTCACTTTCTCGTGGCCTGTCCTACTTCCCAAGGTAATTGTGAAAACAGCAACTGATCTGAAAATCTAAGTGATTATCAGAGCAGCTTGTAGAATAAGGTCCCTCCAAATGCAATCCATATCGTGGAATTACCATCTGAGGCATTCTGGTTGTGATGAGAGACCTGGTTCCTCCTTGGCCTCATTTTTATTATCGACCACATCTGAGAAAATAACTCTGGCTCTTTGCTGTACAACAGAGAGAGCAGCTGTAGGAAATAAAGCATATTGATGACAAACCCATACGGGGGGTTGCACAAGAGAGATTACGTCTGATCTGTAAAGAGTGTGGCATGATGGAGTAACAGGAAATGCTTCCTCTAACAGAAAAAGAGTTTCTTATAAAGTGTGCTTTCTTCCATGGATATGAAGGAAAGATTCACAGGATAATCTTCATCATGAGTTGGTTCCATGTGCTGCTTGTCAACATTGATTTATGATACTGCCTGTTTTCCATCCTTAAATGCTACACTGCTGTTTGAACTGTTAAATTTTCATGTCAGTGGCAAAATGTAACTTGCAAATTGGTCTTTAATTTTTGGTTCTTCAAATGTACGTAATTTGCAAATTGGTCTTTAATTTTTGGTTCTTTAGTTTCTTGAGTTACAAAAACCCATTTCTACACAACTGTTTTTTTTTAAATTTCATTGAAACATCAGTCCTTGTAGGATTAGAGACATTTTCCACAAATCGGAAAACACACAAATACTTCTCATGGCTGCCTCACTTCAATGCCCAAGTTCACATGTATAACACAGGGTCTTTATTAGGAAGAGAGACTAGTGCTTAGTCATTGGCATGTATGAATACGACATCTGTATTCCTGTTCCCATCTTCAAATCTGTATGGGAAGGAGAACAAACCGTGAACACACCTGGAAACTGCAGCTTCTTAGTGACATCTCAAAAACCACATCTTGAGGTTTTGTCTGTTGTACCCCTGGAACAAGTGCAGGTGTGTAGAGTTTGATACCTAATGCTCAATTCAATATTTGAATGATTCTAAAGAGGGAAACCTAGATTTCTTGCTGTCTCTTGTACCCCTGGAACTAGTGCAGGTGTGTAGAGTTCGATACCTAATGCTCAATTCAATATTTGAACTACGATTCTAAAGAGGGAAACCTAGATTTCTTGTCTATGGCCAGGGAGAGGAGGTGAAAGCATGTGAGCAGTCCAAAACATCAAAAGATAGATGTAAGCAAAGTAGGACTTTTAATGAGCAGGTAAAAGGAAATATATGCACGTTTGCTGAAATTGTTCAGATTAGCAGAAAATGGAGCCCACAGTATGAATAGAACTGAAAGTGGCTGTATAAACTACTATTTCTGACACAGTTGTCTCATCTATCCTTTGTGCCATCGCCAGAGCTTGGAAAAGTTACTTTTTTTGGACCTTAACCTCCCAGAATACCCAGATGTATAAGCTGACTGGGGGGATTTTGGGAGCTGTAGTCTAAAAGCATAACTTTTCCCAGCTCTTTTTACAGAATACCAAGGGAATTTGACCTTTTTAAATGGAGCACAGGAACAAATCATTATCCTGTATATTTCTGGCCTCACACTTCTCAAAGCTTCTACTTCTGTCTTATTCTGAAACGTTGTCTGCCTTGTCAGACAAATATTTTATACAGCAAGAGACACTGCCATATCTGTCCCCCTGTAGGTTTTCTGTGACATCCTTTCCCCTTTAACTGTTACTTGAAAAGTGTTTGGTATTTCTGGATGGATTTAGAAATTGTGCTTGTTTAGAAGATGTCAATAAAAACCAAATGTGTCTGGCTGTGAGTTTGTGTCAGTTTGGGCAGGCCTCCACATAGTGCAAGGAAATCTTGTTTTCTGTGTGGTGCTTTCTCACTTAGGAATTGAAACGAATTTCCAACTAACCCAGATTTTTTAAAATGACATCTGATTCATGGGCTACAAGCCTTTCTGCTGTTTTTTATATGAAAGAAAATGCAAACACCAGATTGTTCCCTCCCATTTCCCTTTTCCCAGATGATATGCAAATAAAATGCACACATCTAAACATCTGCTTGAATAATGCATACAAACACATTCTAATCCATGGGAGAGTGTATAAAATATGTACATTAAACAAAATCTGCCTACCTTGGGAATCATGCATACCTCTGTTTCCATATGCAATAGGAAATAATCTTGCCAACCAATGTGGAACTTGAATAGGTTGAGAGTATTGATGGAATTCCAAGAAATGCAGTGAAAATAAAACTAACATGTTCTCACCTCCATATTCCCAGCCATTTGCAAGTAAATAAATCAACAAGGCTAGTACCTCTATTTTGGAGGGGCAAAACTTCTGAGAATAATGCAACATGCTTGAAAAGAGAGGTCAGCTCTGCCTCTAGCTCTGAAGGAAGCAAGGCAGGGAAGCATGTTAGAATTTAACTTCAGCTAGGATTTGGCAACTCTGCAAGTGCAGGACTTTAGTTTGCATCTAGCAAAAGGCCTTAATCCAAGTTAATGATGTAATGAATACTCATTAATTTCCTCACTTTTGCTGAAAAGGGTGTCTCAGCATGTCAAAAAATTCACTGAAAAAACTGTCAACTACAGCAAAATTTTGGGTCCTGCCAAAAGTCCTGCACATTTTTTATCAGCAGAAGCATTAGGAAAAAAACACATTTTGTGCCAAAAAAAGCTATTTTTCACCAAACATTGTTCATAGTGCTGCTGCCTAGTGTAGTAAATGAGTAGGCCCATTTAATTAAGGAGGATTTAGTGAGTAAATTCCTTTGTACGTTCCATAAATTGAAACGTGCCTACATTAAGTGAGAGTTACTTTAGCATAGTAAGTCAGAGTTGGCATAGGCACATTGAAATCAATGCAACTTGGTCACCAAAGTTCTACTCCCTAATTCTTTTCCCTTCACCAAACTGGGAGGCTCCATATTGATTGGACCAAAACATTGGCTATTTCTTGATTTTTAATGGGAATCTATCTTCCAAATTTCTTTATCAAAGCTCAAGAGTCATAAATGACTATACCAAAAGTTGCTCCCTAGAATAAGAATAGTACCTTCCCCTCAAAATCAGTCATTGAAGACTGATTGGTGCTGCATTTAAAACTTCACACAGCTACATAGATAACCTGCAGAAGACTGTTAAGAATTACCATCTGTGATGGATGTGAACATGGTCATCGCTGTTGACGTCATCAACTTTATCATCATCATCTTTATCTGTGTTGGTTTAACTTATTCATTTGGGGAGTTTAGTTGTGAAGTTGGTGGCCAGGAGTTTGACTCTCTACTGAGCATCTTGGGAGAGGGGGCAGCGAAGATCACCCAGAGAGTGTGTGGCTAATGGGGTTGTGTGTCTTGCCACGTGTAGCCTTCACCAAGCTGCACAGTCACATAGTGCCACCAGAGGAGGAACTGAAACCCTAAGAAGGTCACTATACATTGAAATTGTTTATTATTATTATTATTATTATTATTATTATTATTATTATTATTATTATTATTATTATTATTATTATTATTATTATTATTATTATTA